TTTTCCCCATGAAAACAGAAAATGATGTCATTCATTCAGAGAAACAGATTTGAAGTGAACGCTTTTTCCGCTTCATTGTGTGACAGGTGCATTTACATTATTTTATTAAAATCATTATTTTTCGTTTAATTTCAATCTCACATGTTTGTGTTTATTTTATTTTTCTCAAATTTGCTTCGAGCGTTTAGCTTCAGTCTCGCGAGGGCCCGCGCGGACGTTTCCGTGACGTAGACGGAGACCTTCGTTTCCGTAGCAACTGGGGCCGGTCCGTTAACCGCAGCGACCGTTCAACAACCGGAGCTCACCGGGGTGAGGAGCAGCGGCCAGCGTGGGGGGGGCCACTATCGTCGGTAACCGGACACCACCGCTGCCGTGCAGGGCGTAGAGACGCGGGGGGGGGGACGCAGCACCGAGCCCGCGGTCCCGTGCGGAGATGCTGAATATGTGGAAAGTCAGGGAGCTGGTGGACAAAGCGTGAGTACCCGGAGCAGGTGGAGCTGCTCGCCCGCACTCACCCACTCGGAGGCTGCTAAGCTAACCGGTGGAAGCTAACCGGTGATCGGGCAACATCAGCAGCTTCACCCGCCGAGCGGAGAGGGATGCTGGCCGTGACGTCACGGACCTAGCCCCTCAGCTGTTAGCTCTGACTAGCCGGCTAGCTGCCAACCTTCAACCTTGGAGCATAAATAGAACGTGATTGTGTTTTTCTAGTTGTGGCATCTTCTCTTGTGTCCCTTCTCCACTCTGGTTCACCCGGCAGAGGAATGCTGCGATATGATCAACGGGGAATTCATTTGTGTCCGACCCAGAGCGAGAGCTATCCAGTTAGCTAATTCCGCTAAGCTAGCTAAGCCCAGCTCGGCTGTGTCATCAGTGAACTGGTCCTGTTAGCGCTGATGCTGCAGCCGGATCGCGCCCTGTCCCACCTTCTGCCCGCTATCTTCAGCGAGCCTCCACCGACATTACACCCAGACCGGGAGGCGGAACTACACTGGTTGCTAATTTTAAGTGGCTCGATAATTGCACGTTCCCGGCTAATTAGCTGCCAACTCCGCCTCACAGTTGTAGCTACACCGGTCTGACGAGGCCCATGGTCCCAGACACATAACAAAGCTCGTCAGGGACCAAACACATTGTTGTGTAGTATCTAATCCTACCTCAGCTGTTGGTCTCTGCAAAGATGCTTCTCTGTGATGTAGATCTGTGTGCTAACGATTGCTGCAGGTAGTAAACAGTCTAATACAACAACAGAGCAGTGTTGAGGAGTTATAGTCACAGTTTTACCATTTTGTCCATTTGACCATCATTCACACTCAGGGAGTAACAACAAAACAAAGTAAAGTAAATTGTCATTCGGAGGATTTAAATGGTATTTAGTTCTGAAGATGATATTGTTATCATTGATCAATCGGACAGATGTAATCAGGAGCTCTGACCAGGGGTGGGAATCACATGGTAACTCAGGAAAGGATACACAGCCCTCAATAACGATAATAATCACAATACAGTGATTATGTGATCATCAATACATAGGAAGACAATCTTATAACAATCTGTCAATATTTGTCCATCGGAAGAATAATACAAAATGCAGAGTGCAGGACAGAGTTTGAAACAAACTGAGAGTCTGTCTTTAGCAGACACACTGTTCCTTGTCGATGTCCACATGTGCCATCATTCTAGTGTAAAATACCCATAAACTAGCAAAAGTACAAACTATGTACATAACAAAATAACGCTATTTGGTAAAATATGAAGTAGCAGCAGAAGTAACAGTATTATTAGTATTTGAGGGAGCATTAGACACCAGCTCCCAGCTGTTTGTTGTGCCTGGTCTGTCATGATGAATACACTCTATTATTGATCTGCCGCCTCAGAGTGGGCAGTGGCAGCATTGCTCTTCATGCAGATTAAGAGCTAACACTATAATAGAGCCCTCGCTCTGTGTCTGTCTTATGTTCTGACAATAACTGAGTCTAAGGCATCAATTATTTACTTTTACCTAGGAGGGTGGCAGAGCTCGGAGAAAGAGACAGAGGTAGGATAAGAAAGCAACTACTTAGATATTAAGATGTGACAATAAAAAGCAAGGAGCAGAAGATGAATAAACAGAAGTGGAGAAAGACATTTTGAAAAAGGAAGATGAAGTATGATGGGCTAGAGTAGCAGTAGATAAGATAGTCACACGAGAGTTTGTTTGTTTAAAGTTGTAATTCAGTCTGTAGAACAAGCCGTGCCGATAAAGAGATGCAACACAAACACACACAGGAAAAACAAACACAGGAGCAGGTGAGGCCACAAAAGCAAAAAGGACAGGAAGCAGACTGTATGCACACAAACATGACTGTGTGCACTGGTCTGTACACAAGCTTTCAGGAAACTGTCATTTTTCATCAGTGCAGCATTTATTTTCTCTATCTTGATTATTCAATACTTGATTATAGCCATTTTTTGTGATTAGCCTGTATAGCATGTGTGTTTGTATAAGCTTTGAACTAATTGATGAACAAAAAAATATGTTTGTGTCAACAGCACCAACGTGGTGATGAACTACTCGGAGATCGAATCCAAGGTGAGAGAGGCCACCAATGATGACCCCTGGGGTCCCTCTGGACAACTGATGGGAGAAATAGCCAAGTATGTGCAACACGCACACACACACACACACACACACACATAGTGTGTTCACATTCAACTAAAGGTGGTTTATTTAGGAGAAACATCCTGCATGGGTTTTACCTGGATAACATATATATTTGTTTGGTTGTGTGTAGGTCTACCTTCATGTATGAGCAATTTCCAGAGGTGATGAACATGCTGTGGACCAGGATGCTGAAGGACAACAAGAAGAACTGGAGACGAGTGTACAAGGTGTGGTTATATTCTGGTTGGCAGTTTGTTTGTTCCTGGACAGTTTTATTGTTCTTTCCACTTATATACCAAGATATGTGTGAATGCTGTATTTGTATTGTGCAAAGATAAGAGCAGTGCATCTCAATTACTTTCTCGTTTCCAACCTGCATAATCACATATGAATTATAGAATTATGAATGATACAAAAGCTGAGAAAGAGTGAGATGGATTTTTTAAGCAGAGTTCAAGAGAGGAGACGTAACTCAAGGAAGGGAAACCGCTGGTAGAAGAAATCAATTCACTCTTAACAGTTGAGTAAAGTAGAACTGACTTTAAGTATATTGTTGGCGAACATTTCTTCTAGATAAGCAATGATTAGTACGTCCCCTCGTCATTTATGTACCTCTCTCAATTATGTCCTCACTCCATCTCCTGCCATATCTCTGTCTCTCTCTCCCAGGCCTTACTGCTGCTGGCCTATCTGATCAGGAACGGGTCTGAAAGAGTCGTCACCAGTGCCAGAGAACACATTTACGACCTGCGATCTCTAGAAAACTACCATTTGATTGGTGACTTTTTCCTCTTTCTCTCCTTTATTTTGTGTAAATTTGAGATATGTTTTTAGCTGTAAGTGCCAAGACCAACACAGAGATTTGTATATCTGGGCGTGTGTGTCAAAAATAGAAATGGTTCATTCTCTTTCATATTTCATACTAGTCTGTCCATTTGATTTGAATCTTTCTTAAGTAAAAGCCTGATGGTGGTCAGAATAAAATAAATAAATAAATGGAATGTGTACTTGTGTCTGTTTGCAGATGAGAATGGTAAGGATCAGGGCATCAATGTGCGTCAGAAGGTGAAGGAGATGGTGGAGTTCATCCAGGACGATGACAGATTGAGAGAGGAGAGGAAGAAAGCCAAGAAGAATAAAGATAAATACATTGGAGTCTCTTCTGACAGTATGGGAGGAGGTGGAGGAGGAGGAGGAGGAAGCTTTAAGAATTGTAAGTAACTTGAACTATGTCTTCTATGACAACTTCAATCAAATGTGGATTGACGTGATAACACTTCCCTTATTCAAAGCTATGGGAGTTACAGTTTGTTTGAGGAAGGAAGCTGTGTGAAGCAAGCATGTGTCTTTCTGTTTAGATTTAAAATTAGAAGTTCAAATTGTCCAGTATATAATCAAACAAAACAACAAGATATTTTATTTTATTAACCGAACAATGAATCAATACAATATTAAAATAAATATTTGCAGCAGAATATATAGCGATATTCAATAGTTACACAGATTTAGGAGGTTTATATCAGTGGTGTGATGTACTGCTCATGACCTTTGGTTGATGCCTCTCACTGCACTTTCCTGTCTCTTTCAATCCAGCTAATGAGTTGGATCGGAGTAAGTGGGACGAGGACTGGGATAAGAGCAGAGGAGCTTTCCCCTTCAGCGAGAAGCTCGGAGAGATCAGTGACAAGATAGGCAGCACCATCGACGACACACTCAACAAGTTCAGGAAGAAGGAACGAGACGACTCACCCGACAGAATCAGGTAAACGTACACACAAACAATGTTCACGTGAACACGTATATATAGTCTTTCAAAACGTCTGAACAGATGCTTGTATTGAAATGGACTAAGGATGTATATGAAAGTTGCTACTTGCATCCTCAGTTATCAAAATAGCCTATTGTCTTCCTTTGTGGAAAATAAAACTCCCATTACTTGTCAGTTGGCAGTCGTGTGGTAAAACGATCACAAACACACAATAACCCAATATTCTGGTTTGCCATAGTGACAATGAGGAGGACCGAGCATCTAGAAACAGCAGGCAGGAAACCCTGGAGTTCAAAGATGAAGAGGAAACTGTCACAACAAAGAGTATTCAGATCACACAAGCAACAGAAACCACAACCACCACCACACGGAAACGCAGCGGAGCATCGAGCAGCAAGACTCTGGACCTCGGTGCTGCAGCTCACTACACTGGGGACAAGAGCCCAGAGGAAAAGGTGCTCACCACAAACGCTCACACTTATCCTAAAGTGAAACACATTCTCATTCACACATGAATAACTGCCATGTCTCTCTACTTCTCTTGTTAGTCATCAGTCAGACAGTCATCCAGTAGCGGCCTCGCTGACCTGTTAGTGATCGACCCTTTATCGAATCAGAGCAATACAACAGGTAAGAGCAAACACTCACAAACTGGAACAAGAAACAAAGTCCATGAAGATGATTTTAAAACCTGGATGTGTGTTGTGTTATGTAAATCTTTGTTGGAAAAAATGGTTCATAGACTTTTGCTTTTGTATGAATACAATTGTGTTCATCCATCTAGGTGGTAGCTCAGACCTGATCGCTGGTTTTGCTGACTTCTCCTCTCCTGCAGCTTCTGCCAGCCTCCCAACCGCCTCGGGTAAACTTCTTCTTCCCTCTGTGATCTTTGGCAGCTTTCACAATAAACCTTTCAGAAACAAATTATACATATTTGTAAATATGAAGTTATTCAGACAATGGGTAATGAATGAATGGGCCAGTTCTGGTGTCATTTGTCTTCCTGTATCATACATTTTTCAACTAAACCAAACAGGTAAAGTGTGAACTATCTTAAATGCTGATATGTACTCTCTTAGAACATGTTCAGGTGTTGTCTACCATCACAAAAATCTGTATTGTGTATACATTTTTAGAGTGCATGATGGTTATAGTCCAAATCCGTGATGTTGTAGTCACAATTAAACAACTCTCTTGTGGCCAGCTGCTGTATCATCCAATGAAAATGGAGAATTTGGAGACTGGAGCACCTTCTCAGCCAAACCACCAGCGAGCTCTGCTCCCTCTCAGCCTGTCACCAACCTGTTTGGCAGTGTCCAGTCGCCCACTGCCACTAATGCCGCCCCCGGGCCACCTTCTGCTGAGCTTTTTGACCTGATGGGCGGAGTTAACCATCAACTAACCAATCCACACACAACACTGAGTGCGTCTCAGAGCTTGACTTTCTCTCTGGGGGGAGCACCACCAGGAGCAACTGTTGCTATGCCCACAGTGCCCCTTTCTCGCTCTCAACAGGTTAGTGTGGTACACATCACATTATTACCATTATTTAACTATATGTATTTATCAAAGGGTAAAATGATTTGTCATTTCTTTCAGAGCTTGGGAGGCATCACATCTCAGCAGCCCATAGGACAACAGCAGAAGGTTGGCGTCGGAGGTCAGGGATCATTGGGGTCGACATGGTCCGACCCCTCCGTCAATATCAGTCTGGACTTCCTATCAGCAGGCCTCAACCCCACTAAGACGCCGCCCACACTCAACAACATCATCCAGCAACAAGGTATCACGTTTCACTGGGATTCATTTTCTGTGTGCAGATAAAAAAGCTAACAAACGCATTACCCAACGTATCTGCAGGTCTTCAAGTCTTAAAAATCACTGGTTTATCTAAAAACCATATTTAATGATTAATACGTGATATTAGATATTATTACAACATTTTAACTCTGGGATTTGAATTAATAAAGTCAGAGGGATAAAGTGGGTCATGACAAAATTTACCGAACTGTTACACGGCTTCATAACACAAGTGTCAAACTCTTCCCTGTTCATGTCTGCAGGTGTGCCCCCCGTCAACCTGTTGTCCCAGAACTTTGGAGGACTGAACCTGAGCTCCCCGCCCCCTGTGACACCCATCAGACCACCAGCCAATTCCATGATGGCAGGTGGTGCCATGACGATGGGCATGCCTGCATCAATGGCAACTGGCATGCCACCCTCAATGACCACGGGTACCATGGGGATGGGCGGAATTCCAGTAAACCAAGGCATGATGGGAATGAACATGAGCATGAATATGGGCATGACCACTCCGGTGATGATGGGTGGCGTGGGAGTGCCAGGAGTCGGTATGGGCCTGTCACACTCCGTCAGCCCAGCTGTGGTCCCACCCAAACAAGATGCCTTCGCTAACTTCGGCAATTTTGGGAAATGATGGAGTGCAAATGTGTGTGAGTGTGAATGTGCATGTCTGACAGTGTGAAAGCGTGAACCATGGACGGACCGCTGTACTTGAAGACAACCTTGCATGTTTCTCTCTATGCTTCTGCTCTTTTTGGCGAGGTGATACCAGTGATCATTCGCTATCCCAGTCTGATGACACAATCTTTGAAGTGGGGGAGCGCCCCCTGGTGCCCCTCACCCTCTGGTACTTTTCCTGAAGAGCAGGGAAGTTGTTGACCCCACACTCCTCACCTGTTTTATAATATGAACTGCAGGGTCATTACAAAACATCATGACAGAACATTCCTCTCTGTAACTGCGCAGTGAATTCAATCAGTAGGGTCAACTCCGGTTAAAATGGCATCGCTGCCTTCATTTCGCATTGTAGCCCAAAACATCACTTTTAACATAATTTCAACCTACTTCAATCACAAATTTTACTTTAGCAGTTACAGTATCTAACGTTCACAGTGAATGGATGTACAGTAGGAAGAGATTTGTTGATGTGTAAAACGTAACTGAAGCCTTGAATTGCTCAGATATAACAGGGTTACTGTTAAAAGTGATGCTTGTCCTGTACTTTTCATTTTGGATGCCTCTGCCATATTAATGCCCAATGAAAGCAACAGTCAGTATTTTAACTAATATTTCCACTCAACACATCTGCATACAGACACTGTTTATGGTGGTGGAAAATGTCTTAAATAATGAGTATTTTCTAGCCTGCTGTGGGAAAAGAGGGTCATCATCTGCGAGAGTGAACATCATAGTGTAATTATTTAAATGTCTTTCATGTTGAAGGCAGTAGTACACAGCAGTTTTTGGGACACCTCAGCAATGTACCATAACTTAGTATTTTTACCACTGAAGAATTTTCATCTTGCAGCTAATTCTTTTGGTCTCTTGCATATCTGGGCCTCACAAACGATGTACTAAACGCATTAGTTTTTAATAAATGGTTCCTACGGCTATAGCTGAGACCGATCGAAGGGGGTTTTGGGATCCTGGGTGAAGCAAATGTGTGAGAAATGAATGACTGTGTATGTGTGTGTGTGACTTTGTGTATGGATTTAGTTTTCTCTGTTTGATGTGCAAACATGACTAAGCAGAGCCTCTTGTCATTTTCTTAGGCACTGCACTCCAAATGACCAAATCTTTATTTTGTTACTCTCAGAAGGATGATTCCATAGCTGTTAGTTTAATATTTTATTAGTTGACTTGTAAGGTTATGTTCATATTGGAGAACTACTAATTTTTCTTCTTTTTTTTGGTACAGCTCATTTCATTTGATTGTACACTATATTTTCTGTACATCATTCATCATTAAATTAAATTATAACAAATGAAGGTACAGTTTCCTCCTTTCTCCAGTTTCCAGGTTAGTTTGTCTTCATGGTCGTACTGATTTTTACATTGGGTCCTGAACAGGGCTGTAGTCATTTAAAACAGGGAGATGACATCATCTATATTTCTTTTGGGATTAACAACCTCAGGAGAGTTTATACAAAACCTTTTGAATTTCATTTTTTTTAAGGAGGTACAATGTGACAGATGTAGGATAAATCAATCCAATTGGCTAATAGACAACTTCCCTAAACTTACACATGGTCAATAATATGATCACATGAGGGTTTATCCTAAAAAGAACTGTGAAGAAATCAGCATGAATATTTTCTGTTGATGGATGAACATCGCATCATGTTTTTGAAGCGACACAATGTAACTTTTACTGGGCAACAGCGCCCCCTGTAGCCACATGTGGTCAATAAATCAGATGAGCTCTGTGAGCGATCGAGTGGTTTTCATCAGAGCGTTTACCTGCAAAGTCCCACTGTCTATATTACCCATGATCCCCGGCTTTCTGAACCAGAAGAGCTGCAGCTGTAACAAATAAAACTAACTCTGTTTAGAATTCTTCATATTTTAAAGTTTCCTGCTGAATATTGGAGATAAACTGGTTTAAGTCTTTTAATTTGAGCTACATTTCAGCTTTCCTCTTGAACTTGCTGCACCTGGTTCTGACAATATTTTAAGGTAATAAAATATATAATAACATTGCTGCTTTCAGATCCTCACAAATTGTGCATGCAGAATCGAATGGAAGAATCGGTGGAGTAACTTAAGTTGTCAGATGAATGTAGCACTAGTATATTTCCCTCTGAAATGCTGTGGTTCAGTGTGTAAGATTTAGGTGAAAGGGAACTATTGGCAGCAATTTAATGCAGAATAATCCTCATGATGTTTTCACTAGTTCATTTCATCTAAATTGTATGAACTGTAGTTTTCTTTACCCCAGAAAAGGCCTTTTATATTTAAATACTTTATATTTACATCGAGGGGACCCTCTCTACGGAGGCAGCCATGTTTTTTTTTTTACATCTTTTGAGTTTTTATGACAACTGAAGCTCCCACAGGTTCTTCTTCATGTTCGGAAGGAGAGGGTGAGGTGAGGGGTGTTCAGCTGCAACATTACACTCCAACACTAGATATCACTAAATTCTACACACTGCACCTTTACAGTACAAACTATTGTGTGTGGGGGAAAAAACAAGTAGAAGTACCTCAGGACAATAAAGTATATTTTACACGCACGCACGCACACACACACACACGAACAAAGACATCGTGACAAACAGGAAACAAGCGGACAAGTATCATCCAATCAGATCACACACAGCTCGGACTGCGCCATGATTGACAGTGGCCTTGAGCCAATGGGAACGGGAGAAATCACCAAGGGGCGTTTCCAGGAAGAGAGTGGTTACATTTTCCTGTAATGGCGGACCAGGCAGAGAGCGAGACCATCGGATTCAGCGACAACAGGTCAGATAAAACCAAACGCAGTGTTGAAACGAGCGAAGACTCAGTGGAACATTGAGCACAAACTGAGTTTCAATTCCAAGTTGTCTTTTAGGTTGATAGGTTGCGTTAACCGGCGCTTTTCCTTGTGAATGCAGCCACGCTAGCTAACTAGCATGCGGCTAACTAGCCTCTGTTTCCATTCGGCTCTCCTCTACTGTCCGCTCGTGGCACGCGGTAAATACCGACAGCCCGGTCAAACACCGGCAGACATTTCCCTCCTGCACCGGGATGCTTTACTCACAGAGCCCCGCTGCTTCTGTCCAACACGGCTCCCGTCCTGAGTGTGCAATATGGGCTTATTTGCTAGTGCATTATAGCATGCTAGCTCAGCTATGCTACATTCATTAGTAAGCAGAGGCGCACAACTGTGTTTTGAATGGACCGTCTGTGTGTCAGCCTCGTTAGTGACACATTCACCCACTGAGCGTCCGACTTTAGTTTGGGATCGTAATATATGTTCCATGTACGACCAGCAAGACGTCACCCTGAAGAATTCAGCGTTTAAACATGTCGACTATTGCCCATCACGAAGCTAAGTGCTGTCCGACCCGGGTGGTTGCATCTTCCGGCACGTATTTCTGCAGCTCACATCCAGACACTGTGCACAAGTTTCAAGCACATGAGCTCAGCTGGGAGTGTTCATCAAATCCCCCAATTCAGTCTGCAGCACGTGAAGCCACAGACTCACAAAGACCTGTCTTCATTTACAAGGAGTTTGACGCAGGTGATGTGTCCTCAACATCACTCTGTCAGTCTGGGATCTCTCGAAGAGAGAGAAGACACTGAGTTAAACTCAATCCATAGAAAAACTGTGGCAAGTTATCCAATGTTGCTTGGAATAACCCGCCTGCAGATTACATTAAAAACTGAGCTCTAAGACAGTTTGTTTTTAAGTTACTGCACATTGTAATAATGCATTATCTTCTAAAAGTGAACACAGTCATGCTATCCACAAAACATTTATACTAATTGGTTTTGCACAGACAACAGTGATTTAACTGTTCTTTATTATCCAAGATTACACTGATATCATTGCAGTCTGGAATATAAATATGTGAAGAAATGATACCAATTGATTAAAATGACATGTGACCTGCAGTAAATGTTTTTATACTAACTTGTTTTTTTTAGTGGATGTGAATGAGGAGATTTGGGTTGCTATATGATAAAGTAATTCCTAAGATGGATTTCCTCCAGAATTACCTTTAAAGTTCTTGAGACTGGCAGCTGGCAGTGAGTCCTGTGTGGCATCATTCATTCCTGTGAAATCTGATGTTATGACCGACAAATTGACAATTTGTATTAAACATAAACAAAGTGATATTCAGGAAACAATCACCTGGTTAATAAGATGCCTGTATTTCCCTTTATTGTTGCCCCTGCTTACCGGTAGTAAACGTTAGAATTACCTACAGTCCAGTGGGACGTTTGAATATAATGTTAGCTTGTTAGGATCTAGCAAAGTGGCGATATCTTGGTTCTACTCATTTAACTCATTGTTACCTTGTTGTGATAGAATGGCACAGCAGGCGGTGCGGTTCCGCGGCCCTGCCCCAGCACCTGCGCCTGTCCAGACCCCAGTGTTACGAGGCCCACCACCACTCCTTAGGCCACCACCTCCTCCTTTTGGCATGATGAGGGGTCCACCGCCACGACCCCCGTATGCACGTCCACCCTTTGACCCCAACATGCCACCCATCCCACCACCAGGAGGCATGCCACCACCTATCGGACCTCCTCACTTACAGGTGACTGTTTCCCATTCTTATACTAACATGCATGTTTGATTTCATGGAAGTGAAGGGCTGAAGTCTACATCATACTTCAGTTTTGAGCTTCAGTTTTGGTCAGTTGATGGTTGGGTTGTGAGTTGTTGAGTTATTGATACCCAGTTTTTCACGAACCTTCAGTGGTGCAGTCATTTGCCCGGGCAGTGTCTGTAGATAAGCTAACCACAAAGCAAGCTCATAATTCTTGCATGATTATCAGCAGTGTTTGATCTTGGAACAGTACAAACAGAATCAAGAAGGGGCATGTCTAACACAGTTTTTATAATCTCCTTGACCTCTACCATCTTCCTAATTGATTTTAGATGCAGTGTGTTTCCTTATTGAATGATATAATAGTGATTTAGCAGATTTGAATTCATAGAGTTAAATAAACAGGCTGCTGGGTAAATTAGCAATGACTCATCTGAGTGGCCACTTTTCTTTTACCTTGTAGCATCACATTTTGTTGGTGAAGGGAGGATTCATATGTGATTATACGGATTCCGAACCATATTCCGCACAGTTTGAAAGCTAAATGCTGTGTCTCTATCCTTTTTTCTGCAGAGACCTCCATTCCTTCCCCCTCCCATCGGTAACCTACCGCCTCCTCCTGGGATGCTGTTCCCTCCTGGGATGCCTCCTGTTCCTACATCTGGAACCCCTGCACTCAACCCTACAGAGGAGATATGGGTAGAGAACAAGACGTCGGAGGGGAAGGTAAGCTGGGAGTCGTATGTAAACACACAGCAGGATTGCTATGCTGGTAAATGCATTCTGGAAAAAGATGGATAAATAATGAATGGTCTCTCAGTATGTCAAAATTAAAGTCCTGTTGTAGAGAGAATTAGTCTTCTGGGGTTTTCTGATGATGTAGAAGTTTTGTGTTCGAATACACATGCTCACATACATGATGCAGTTTGTCACCAAGTTAAAAAGCCTTTTCTGTCTGTTTACCTTTTCACAGGCGTATTACTACAATGCCAGGACCAGAGAGTCATCGTGGAGTAAACCTGATGGTGTGAAAATCATCCAGCAGTCTGAACTCAACCCTCTTCTTGCAGGGACAGGAGCAAGTGGGGGGGTGACTGCAGCCGCCAGCTCAAGCACCGTCAACACTACAGCCAGCACGGCCGCAGCAGCATCCTCTACTCAGGCCCTGTCCACAACTCCCTCCCGCACTCTCACCTCCAGTCCAGACTCCCCCTCCCCTTCTGTGACAATTGCAGGTAATTACTTGGGGTATTATCAATCATACTCACATCCACTCATACGTGAAAGCAAAATTTGAAATCCTCTTGTTTTTTTCCTTTTGCTTTCATAAGCCACTGTTGTAGCAGACCTCACCCCTGTTGCCACGGTAACCTCAACTGTTGGCGTGTCTCCAGTCACTGTGGTGACTGTTTCCACGGTGCCATCACCTGTTACAGCGGTGCAGACTGTGTCACTTCTGCCTGCGGCCCTGCCTCACAGTGTGGCCCAGCCCACCACTGCCATACCTGCCTTCCCCCCTGTCATGGTCCCACCTTTCAGGGTGCCTTTGCCGGGCATGCACATTCCTCTACCAGGTAATAACTGCTAACTCACCAAGAGCAACAAACTTACAGACAAAAATAAAGAGCTGCTGTCACTATGCTACTAACCGGCTGTTAAATCTTAAAGCAGTACTTCAATAAATTTGTCAGTGAGCTCTAGGATTTTGGTTTTAGACTGACATGTAGAGAAAGGATGACCATTAAAATATATTTTAATGGATTAGTATTGGCTAAAATATAGCAGATCAAAAAATGATCCTTTTTGTTGTACTTCACACGATTGAGTTTTTGTCCACCTCAGCCTGCTGATGTTGCTGTGCAAACAGGTGTATAACAGCCTTTTTTACGCATATATGCAAATGAGATCTACTGCTTGTGAGTCAGCAGAATGCACAGATTTTGTCTTAGTAGCTTCATAGTTCAACTCTCACTCACTAGCAGAGAGCAGCAGCATACAAACTGTCAATTCCGCCAATTACAAACGTTAGTTGCATGTCACATCAGCTGTAAAGGATTTACCATCCAGCCAAAAATTATTTCACTGGAAAATATAATGTTGGTGATAAGTTAACCAGTTAAGATTTGATTCCTGATTATTTGTCTGATGTTAGGCTCCTTATCTCTACAAATATTTTGAGACAACTGCCATTTAGTTTACAAACCCTTTGGAAACCCTGATTCAGCATTACAGGCATATTTATGATGACAAGAGTAAATGAGGATAGCTAGTGGATGCCAGTTCTGTTATTGGAACACCACAGGATTATTTAGGGCAACACAAACTCACTCACAGCTTATACATGTAAATAACATGAATTTCTCTGAAAGTATTTAATACTAGACACAGACGGGTTGAGTGCAGTAGGTTACATATACATGTAAGTTAATGTAAATGCTCCAGTTGGTCCTATGTGTTTGCTTTCAGAGATGTTCCTGTTGCTTTTCTATTCTCCGTAAAATGTCGTAATACTTTTTTCTCTCCGTCCTTCGTTTTTTTTAAAGGAAAAGCTCATTTGGGGAGATCATTTTTTATCAGATAGTTACAGTTAGACAGGGGTAGGCCCGAATTAGAAATTTTGTTAATTCATATTATCAGATTGAGAGCTTCTTGATTGATTTCAAGATGTGTGCTGTACCAACCAACGGATTCACTCTTTCAAATATACCTTTTTTCTGTCTTTGTATCAAAATGTAGATATAACAGTCTCCAAATAAAGATGCATTTCATTTGTATACACAATGTACACTGGGCTCTCAAAGTTAAAAAACATCAAGAGACCTTTATAACACAACAATGATGCACTGTCTAAAACCTCGGCGTGTTTGTCTGCGTTTGTCTGAGTGGGAACAAACACTTTAACACACCATGGTAGCTGATGTCTAGTGTCCTGCTGTGTTCAACCAGATCCTTGCTTGTCCATTGTTCTTTCAGGTGTAGCAATGATGCAGATAGTAGGTGCACCCTGTGTAAAGGCAGGCCCCAGCGCCAACGGTAAACACCCCACCGCTCGCCTCTCAGACCCACAGTAGATGGCATGGTAGTGAATGATGTCTACATGAGTCATATGGTATATATTGGACTGTGTTGAATGCTGTGAACATGATCCATTCAGTGTACAGAGGTGAAACCTCTCCCATTTCAACAAACAGACAATGCAGAATATTAGCTTGATACTGAATATACTCACAGACTTCACATCTCTGGATTAAATGTGTCATGCGAACCATTTCATCATCACCATATTTTAGAGTGTAGCTCTGGACAATGTGCTGAAGTCTTGTTTCCAGCACATTCTTGTTAACCCATCATTAATGTTTGACCGTGCTTCTACCTTTAGATTGACATGTCTTATTCATGATGTCCTTATTCTCAAGACATCACTGAAATACCTCGGGATTCGCTGAAATACTAATGGGAAAGTGTTATGGGAAATGTAGTTTATTTGATTATTAGCACTCTTAGCATGCCAAAAGGTTTTAAGTAGTGTTTCAGACAATGGCTGTGACGTTAGTAGCGACAGGAGTGATATTGAAGCAGTTTATAGAAGAGTTTGGTTTTGCTGACATGTTTTAGGAGAAGAACAAGGGGATCTCTGCTTGTCTGCTTTGTTAGTTTTTTAAAAGACGTTCACAAAGTTTGGGAACACCGCAATGATTTACAAGGAAAGTCAAATGTTTTATTTAAGTCTCTCTCTACTTCGGAGGCTGAGAAAAGATTGGAAATTCTGTCAGCTCTTCAGAGAACTCTCAGGTTTTAGCTGGTGGTTTTTCAAACAACACTTTGTATGGCACCTTAGGTCTTAATGGGTTAAACTGGAAATGCCCCTTGTCCTCGGGAAGTGGTAGGCCCTTGTTTTGCTTTGTTTAGTCCGACTGGTAAATGAGAGTTAATTTGAAAATCAGTAGCTAAATCGTAAAGTGAACCAGTTAGGAATACAAGTCGTGGTCATGTGGTTGTCCTCTTGTCCTCTTTTGTGGCATGGTTGTGTGTTTGTTCATGTATGTGTGTTTGCTGTCTGTAAGTTATGTTTAGACTGCAGCAGTTTCTTCTTTTCACTCTAATAATCTACTCCTCCACACGTTGAGGCACATACTTTTAATGTTGCAGTTAATCAGTTTTATGCTGCCTGTGGAGCTCAATCTCTTACCTCTGGTTTTCCTAGTTCATGTTGATTACAAATGGGCAACCTGGAATATGACTCGCCACAAAATTACATATAAACAAATGCCTGATAGAGGTTAGTCCACCACATTGTATTGTATTGTTGGTTAGGACAGAAAGATGACAGTTGGTTAATAATGGTCTGTCTCTTTCCTCTCTGACTGATTACAGGCATGCTTCCTGGTATGGGCCCGCCTTTAGTTTCCATGATGCACCCCCAGCTGGCTCTCTCGGCTGCTCCTGCTTCCATGGCCGGATCGTTGCACCTTCCAGAGTGGTCAGAGTACAAAACAGCTGATGGGAAAACGTACTACTACAACAACCGAACACTGGAGTCCACCTGGGAGAAACCACAGGCCCTGGTGGAGAAAGGTAGGCATTGCTCACAAGTGCACACAGAAAAGTTAAAGCTTTATTTGTTGAGCTTCATTATTAGTAATCTTTGTTTGTGTGTGTTTGTCTGTATCAAGACCAAGGCAGTTGGGTTCACTTTTAACACTTTCTCTGTACTGTTATCAGAAAAAGAAGCAGAAAAACTCAAGGAGCGTTTGGCCCAAGAGGAAGCTGAGGCAATGGAGATGGAGGATGAAGAGAACAAAAATGAAAACATGAACAATGAGAAGGAGGTGTGTGAAAAGATGAAAAACAAAGTTGCTTTGTCGCGATAGGATAACTAATTCAATATTATCACTTAATTTATGTCCATTATAACACATGTTGGATTTTTTTTTTAAAAGCACCCGTATATTTTTATATTCAGGGTATTTTTTTACTTTCCGGTGAAATCGGTTAGATATCTCAAATCTCAATACATGTAACTAGAATTAATGCGAAAAGACACAGAGAATTATAATTTTTTATGTTATCGGTGTAAAAGTAGTTCTGGTAAATTTGTATGATTCAGGCACTGTTATGCTCTATAGCTATGTTATTTCTCTTTTCTATCAAGGAGCCTAAAGAAGAAGAGATGACAGAAGAGGAAAAAGCCGCCCAGAAAGCCAGGCCTGTAGCCACCAACCCTATCCCTGGCACACCATGGTATGCACACCTCAACGCAGAACATGTTATCTACACTGCATTCATATTTTCTCTACTCTTGGTGGCTCTTCTTGATGACTGTGTGTGTCGGATCAATTTATCTCAGGTGTGTGGTATGGACGGGTGATGATCGCGTGTTTTTCTACAACCCCACAACACGGCTGTCCATGTGGGACCGACCCGAGGAGCTGGTTGGTCGAGCTGACGTCGACAAGCACATCCAGGAGCCGCCACACAAGAGAGGCCTGGAGGACAGCAAGAAGACAGGTGTGGACAAAGACGCACTCGCATTCAGTCAGTAATTATCACATTGCATAAAGCACTTGATTTTTAAAATTTCTGTTCTTTTTCTGTTATTCTAAACACTGTACTGTCCTATTTATTTTGTCTGTGTGGTCGCACACAGGAATCAACAAGGAAGAGCCAGAGTTAGCGATGGCTACTGAAGAAAATCTAGATGAGGAGCCAACAAAAGTCAAAAAGAGGAAGTAAGTTTCCCAGTAAAACTTGTAAAATACTCACTTCATACTCCTCTACTATCCCATTTACTTTTCTCTAAATTCCTTTCACATGTTTTAATCTTGCCTTCGTCTATGTCTCCTTTTTTACAGGAAGGAGGAGCCAAAGGAGGCGGACTCAGAGAAGGAAGCAGCAATGGAGGCAGAACTCAGAGCTGCCAGAGAAAGAGCCATAGTGCCTCTGGAGGCCAGGATGACCCAGTTCAAAGAAATGCTGCTGGAAAGAGGGGTAACACAACTCTTATGCTGATTGATATTTTAAGGTAAAGTTTATTGGTCTTTGTCTGAAGACACACCATCACAAGACTGGGCTTTTAGGCTAATGTTTTCCTGGCAATTCTTTTAATGAACCTTGTTATTCCTTTAATTGTTCTCACATGTTGATAGTATTTTATTGTCAAGGACAAATTTTACATAATAATGTTCCTGGTTTTGTTAGTAAGTGGTCATAGTTAACAGTTGATATCAGACAGTGGTGGTATATCGTCACAGCTCAGTGTCTAATACCACTGTTCTTCTTCACATGCAGGTGTCTGCATTCTCAACTTGGGACAAAGAGCTTCATAAGATTGTGTTTGACCCTCGTTACCTTCTGCTCAACCCAAAAGAAAGAAAACAGGTTTGGTCCCTCTTGCTGTCTTGTGTTTCTGTCTCCTCCTTTATAACTCATTCTCATTTTCTCATAGTATTGTCATTACCATAAGGGCCATGCTTAAAAATCTTTCAGTCATAGGTTTGTGGTTCATGTCTATTTTAGGTGTTTGATCAGTATGTGAAGACGCGAGCAGAGGAGGAGAGGAAGGAGAAGAAGAACAAGCTGATGCAGGCCAAAGACGAGTTCAGGAGGATGATGGAAGAGGCTAAGTTCACACCCAGGTAAACAGCTTTAAGATATTTACAGCTTTGGCATAAATCTACTGATATTTACTCAAAGGTAAATAAAGCCATTTTCTGACATGAACTCCTCAGAAGCTTGCAGGCTGCTTCCAAAGTATTAGTATTTAACATGAGATGTAATTCATATATATCTATTTTTCAGGTTGTGCCAAAGAGATAATATTTCTGAGATGTTTGGAACTCTTTTTTTTATTTGCAGAACAACGTTTAGTGAATTTGCGATGAAGCATGGCCGTGACCCGCGATTCAAGACCATAGAGAAGATGAAGGACAGGGAGGCCATCTTTGTGGAATTTATCACCGCTATGAGGAAGAGGGAGAAAGAGGACTCCAAGTCCAGAGGAGAGAAGGTATAACTCACTGTCACGTTAAAATCTCAAGTTGAAGGTATAATGAACTTTTGGGCAGATTTCTGATTCGTTTAAATATTTGTATTTCTGGTTTCAGGTGAAGTTAGACTTCTTTGATCTCCTGAATGAACAGCACATAGAGGGAGGCCAGCGATGGAGCAAAATTAAAGAGAGGCTAGAGACGGACCCACGATACAAGTCTGTGGACAGCTCTGCACTCAGAGAAGAACTTTTCAAACAGTACATCGAGAAACAAGCCAAGGTGGGAGCATCTCTGCTTGTTTGAAACTTGAATTATGTGTAAGGGACAGTGAAATGGAGCGAGGATGTAAAATTGTAATTTCTCTTGTTATTCATTCTCATTTTTTGCCATGTTTCTCTGAATTTTTTTGAGAATTTGCATGAGAGTATGATAGAAACCCAGCTATTGTCGGCATCCCATCACAGACCATGTGTGTCACACCCCACAGAACGTGGACATCGACAAGGAGCGAGAGTTGGAGCGGCAGGCTCGTATCGAGGCCAGTCTCAGAGAGAGGGAGCGTGAGGTTCAGAAGGCCCGATCAGAACAGACCAAAGAGATCGACCGAGAAAGGGAGCAGCACAAGAGGGAGGAGGCCATCCAGCATTTCAAAGCGCTCATGTCTGATATGGTGAGATTCTCTGCAGATTCATTTTTGAATGAAATGTGCTGTATTTAAAATTTCACGAAGTCTTGATATGTCAACAGTTTGACATTTTTAGATATAATGAAGAAAAAGTAAACGCTGATTCTAACCTTTCAGACAAAAGTCTAGTTGTATCCATTCAGTCCCAAAGGAAAGAAGTCAGATGCATTTTGACTGCCGCAATAATCACATTCCTACACATTTGTGAAATCCAAGTAAATTTGTAGGAGCACAATTTTAACTAGTGCCTTTCAGCTAGAACCATTATAATTTCATAATTTCTTCCACAGGTACGTTCTTCAGATGCAACGTGGTCAGACACGCGTCGTAACCTGAGGAAGGACCATCGTTGGGAGTCGGCTTCACTGCTGGAGAGAGAGGAGAAGGAGAAGCTGTTTAATGAACACGTAGAAGCTCTGGCCAAGAAGAAGAAAGAACATTTCAGGCAGCTTCTGGATGAGACTAGCATGGTGAGGAGTAAAAACATGAAGCGAGAACAGTCAACAGCAGGAAAAGTGACCAACTATCTTTAATAAGCTTTTTTAATTTATTATCTGTTTGCTTTTTTCTTATGTGTGATATAGAATGTGGTTACCTGGGTTCGGACAAAAAATTAGAAATGATAATTTGGTTTCAGTTATAACCAGAGAGGCAAGAAGGAAACTGATACTCCAGTTTTTAAGGGGATATTAATGTCCATCTAAAGTGTCTATTTAAATGCTTTATCCATTGTTTTTAACAACCTAGGTCAAGTTGATCACTGGTTCATTTTATGAGCTCATCGATGGGTGTTTGTGTTGTAGATCACCTTGACAACTAGTTGGAAGGAGGTGAAGAAGGTCATCAAAGAGGATCCTCGCTGTATTAAGTTCTCTTCCAGTGACAGAGTAAGTCTTTTCATGAGAAACCTCACTGTTATTTTGTTTGTGTGTAATAATATATTGATGAAATATGAGCTAACCTGTCAACAAGTCTGTCTTTTCTCTGGGGACATTTTGACTTACAAACCTAAATTACCTTTTTCTGGTTGAAGTTCCCCGCTCAATCCAATCACTGTTCTTTCCACTTAAATATAAAAAGCCTTGACCCTGAACAACATGTGCATTTATCCACACATATCTCTGAAGGTCTTCTGCACATGTTATATGATATGTTCCGAAAACAACAAAAAACTGTTGGAATACAAAAACACGCTGAATCAAGTAGTTTACAATATTGTTCTGCAGAAATGTTTGTCAGCACGAAGACTGATCTGTTCTGTACATGTTAAACCAGTGAATTCATTTCATATCATCAGACTTGTAGCAAACTATGTCACTAGTGCAATTTACAGTAATTTAGAAGTTTGTTGACTCATTCGGGGCAAGTGTCACTTATAGGAAAAGCTTAGGTATTTATTGAATTATACAAATGGTGGTGTGGTTTTAGTAACTTTACTTACAGTACTCACTGTACTGTATTTGATTTTTAATGTGTGATGATCTGTTCGTCTGTCTGTGTAGAAGAGACAACGTGAGTTTGAAGACTACATCAAGGACAAGTACATCACGGCCAAAGCTGACTTCAGAACGTTGCTAAAGGAGACAAAGTTCATCACGTACAGGTTTGTACGCTCACTGTCACATAGTAGAGAGGCATTAACAAAGCATGTTATTAATAGCATTTAAAATGTTACAAATGATTTTTGAGCACATTCAGTATAAATATCTTGGTGTTGCAGTGAATCCTGCACAGGGACGATATTGTTCATAGTTTGACCATCCTGCCTTCTTCCTGTCTGCCTCTGTCTAGGTCAAGGAAGCTTATCCAGGAGTCAGAGCAGCATCTGAAGGACGTGGAGAAGATCCTTCAGAATGACAAGCGTTACCTTGTTCTGGAGTGTGTCCCAGAGGAGCGCAGGAAGCTCATTATGTTCTACATTGAAGACCTAGACCGCCGCGGGCCGCCACCTCCCCCCACGGCCTCTGAGCCCACCAGACGCTCTACCAAGTGACAAGTCGCGTCACCAACTCGGCCAGTGTCCTTCACGTCCTTGCCCTCCACTCGGCCAGAGCATGACATCCCCCCAACATCCCCCTCATCCCCGCCCTCCTGGCCAGTGGCTGGCCTTGCAGTGTTATGACTGGGGGTTATGTTGCTTAGAGATGTACCAGAGAAATGAATGGTAAAGGTCTCTGTGTTATGTCGCCTCTTAGCCGTGAATTAGCCCTGCATTCAACACTACAGCAGGGAGCAGAGGTTACCTGATCTCAAGGTGACCCTTGACCTCTCACCTCTGACTGACCACATTTGAGGGAGAGAGGGATAGTGATGAGGCTGCTGCCCAGGCAGCCACAGAGGTGTAAGATAACCGATGTAAATGAAGAGGAGCGTGTGTGGGAGTGTGTCTGTGAGTGTGTGTGTATGCATGTGTCTGAGGCGTCCTTAAGCCTTACTTCTCCACTGTGCCACTTACCAATTCAGCGGCTCAGTGTGAATGTTAGTTTCTGCTCAGTGGTTTACTCCGATGTTGCAGCAGTTTCTCTGTTGAATAAATAAAGGCAACTTCCACTGTTTTTCAATTTGTCGTCCTGTGGATTTTATGACTCTGAAAGTCTGGAACTCATCACATTGAGAAAATAGTCAAACTAAACCTCTTTTCATTAAGGAGCAGATGAACCTCCAGAAACCTGTTGTCGGGCCCCTATTGACAGTTAAAGCAGTTAAATGATTTCACCTGACTATGTGAGCAACCAATCATCTAGAGCTGAAATAAGTACGTTTATAGGCCGATTTGATGTTGGTACAAAATGATTTTTTAAAGTTCTCATTAGTGATTATTTTAATCAAGTAAGAAGCAGCTTCTTAAATGTCATGTTATGTTTCTGGTTAACTATGATGCTAAATAAAACCTAAGGGACTTTTGGCCTCTGATTAGACAAAAAAACGTTATACGTTATCTGAATATGTAAAAATGGGCATATTTCACTATTTTGACATTGTTTACACTTTTGGTTTGTAGTAACCTATTGATGATCAATCACTTCTTAAATTAG